TGCAGGTTGGCTCTACAGAGTGCGCGGCTTTTGAAGGCACGCGAGAAGTGAAGACTTGCGCGCCATATTATAACTTCCGTTTTTGTGTTGTTTGACGAAGTATCAACAATTAAATTATACACCGGTTGTGCACGTACATCTTTTCGGGATTGATTTCCGTGGTATGCGCCATGTAATGCGTCGGTACTAAAAAAAAACTCGATAATTAATGCGTTAATCGGAAGCACCCGTCTCCACACAATTCGAAATCGAGCGTATGGATAATCATATTTAAGCTGAGACCACGCAAGATTTGATGACATTATTGCGAAAAAGAGAAAATTCAGTGATGAGATATGCGTGACTTTTCTAGCGACTAAGTGCACGCTCAAAATGTAATCGCTACTCGAATGATTCTTATCAAGCAGACTTTTGGAGAGATCGAAGCTCGTGCGACTGATACGATTGTGCATCCTTCACTGTTAAATAGTATCGTATCCATTGACCCAGCTGAAACCTTCATGGTAGTCTCTATTAGTTACTTGCTGTTATATTAGAATGTGATAACGTGTCAAACGACAGATTGTCTCGTCGAAAATAGTGGAGGTGATAAGGCTTAAAACTCTCTGCGGTACTGATATTTTGGGACTACCAACTGATCGCCGCTTCTCAAATCGCGTGAGTAGAGGTACGGCGACGCAGGGTAAACTCATACATCCTCTATTCTGCCGTTGTGCGACACCGAACGATGAGTGCACTTGGTACATGATATTTTGCATATTCGAGCAAACAAAGAAGAGGCGTCTTTTCGACCATGTAGCATGATGCATGCGGACTATATAGGAATGCTGATAATTTTACTGCCATCAATTAAGTCCTCGGAGACTTCTCGCGTAGTAACACGCAAGTTACATATTAAAGTGCACGCGGGGAACCCAGGCGAACTGGAGAAAACGATCGTGCTCATCAACCACGTTCGAGAACTTTCTCATAAACTGCAACCATTGCAAGAAGGTCATTATCCAGCTTAATCTTCCGTATTTCATGCCTCTTTTGGCTCGTCCGAAACCTCCAGCACTATGAACGTATCGAAAGCATCCTAACAAAAAGTACCTACGGCAAGGTGTTTGTGCCGGCGAGACGTGATTTTACTTATCAAATGGTGAAGAGTCGACCGACCATTGGCGAGTTGTGCAGACCGTTCAACGCGCATGTAAGGATCCGCGAACGTGCCGCCTGATTCAAATGAAACGGTAACGTCTGAAGCCGCATGAGCGCTTTGAGCGTAGATGTTACACATATTTAAGAGTCACAATGACTCGTGCTTGAACGCGTTTATCTGGATGTATAAAGATAAGTAATTTTTAGTCCTTTTTGCAGCATTCACACCGCAATATATCGATAAGTACCAGCATTACCTCCACCAGTATCTGATTCTTTCACGATGACCTAAAGGTTCATCATTACTGTGCGCTATATTATCCTAAGAACTATTCTAAGTTCTGCCATCATGTACCTGAACATATGAATCAGATTCAAACGTTTCTATTAAATCTCAATCATTCGTTTTCTCCTTCTGCCTTGATTGAACCGTCGTCTAAATTGCATCTCAGGCCGTCTCGCATATCCCTGTCTTATAGGCAAAGTGTAAAAAACTTTTGATGTTGTGCTGTCTTACCACCAGCAAACTCAACGATTTCACCACGGCTATAGCCACATTCAATACATTGTAGGCTTACCTAACAATAAATGACCTAAATGGATTATTGGTGTCTTTTTTTACAATTTTGACACGGCCTTATATGTAAGGCATAAAAGGCTGTGTCAGAATTGTCGGCGCACCCGTATTCTAACAGCACGACTATCTATTAACTCAGACGCAAGGGGTAAAGATCAGTAAATATGTTTGGATTGGAGAAGATCTACCTGAAAATACTTTAGGATCTCAGACACATGTATATTCTTACGCAAAGCACACTTTTCTATCATGTTTTTTTATTTCTCGTGTTCAGGTATACTACCGGATGGGACGATACTAGTTTGTAAATACGACTGGATAAGATCTAGCATAGTACCTGTGATTATAATGTCATGGGAAATTGACTTCAAATAATATCTTAGGCAGTGGTGAACGTTACTATGGGAATAATTACATATGCCAAAGTAATAGCAAAAATGACCTAACAAGGAGATACAGACGCGAATAAAGAGGAACGAGGAGATACTATATGTCATCTTTGATGAACAAAGTAATAGTAAAGATCCAGAGGAAATGACAACGTCTTTTCAGCCATACTGAAATCGTGTTCTTTTTCATGCAATTTAGCATTTCGTCTGGTTGTTTGCTCCCTTTTACGCAATAAATACGTGAGGTTATCTGAATTTGTAAATTGAACTGGTACTCTCTAAGCTGTAACGTTAAGGTTGGTGTTGTTATTTGTGAATATTCGTTTGTGTAACGTCAAAAGTACGGAAAGTTTTTATAGATTAATAAATCTTCTACCATAGGATTGCCGTGGATGATAATGTTACCCTACTTTTGGTGATCTTTTTGTCAGCTAATTGTTTGGCCACTGTATACTGCTAGCAAAGTGCGGTCGTCATTATCAGCTTGTCCACGTATGTATACAAACACCTTTGACCACGCATCGACAAATTGTTGCAATCGTACTTGTTTGTCGGCGTAAATACGAAATGATCCAAGTGGTAGAATTTTGGCTTACCATGGCGCAAAACTTGACGTATAGCAAGAACGCCGTCCAGATTTTACGTCGGGGCTGGAGTCGCTGATACGCATTAAAAGCTGTTACAGTGCATAACGCTTATCAGTTTGGCCGATCAGACATGCACGGGGCAATGAGCATTTATAAACATTTTAGTTGGGTTAAACCTGATGTGATCAGACACTATGGTACACTTGCATGCACCGCTTTAACGCAAGTGCGACCACTGCCGCGTCATTGTCGTGATGTTCGCGTAGATTTGCTTGAACACCGTTTGCTTTTTGCAATGTTGAGAGCATTACAAGCTCTTCTGGGAAAGGGCGGTGGTCACTGGAATACGAGAGTCGGCGACAAAACAGTTTGCTCGATGCAATGGTCGCCACCTAACACACGTCGCATCTATGACATTGCATAAAGTATGACATCCACGTTTTTGTACCGGAACAACGTAGATACGTAAATTCTGCGCATTCCTTTGCTTCTGGACAGGAGTCCTATATGCAGAAGGTCTTGTCATAGCACACTCCACGTGCTGAGCGCTGTTCATGCTGCAAGTATATTCCTTTTGTGCGACGCCGTTGTCTATCTTTTTGCAGGATTGGTGACGCAAAGCAACGAAATTGTTCGCTCTGTTCATGGATCAAGTCAAGTGATAAAACGAAACTTTGTCGCGCAAACGACGAGCCAACACCACACCTATCAGTTTGTCAACAGCAGATACCGCCAGTGTGCCCCGAATATGCCATCGCTGCTCTGTCTAGTACACAGGATGTTCTATCGTCACGAAGAGAGAGAGGTTTCCATTGTTCTATTTACAAGCGGCTGACTCGATGTGCAAGGTCTCGGATATGTGGAGTCCACCGCGGTCATATTCCATGGCACTATCGAACTCGGTCTCTCTTTCTCGTTCTGCTGGCTTGGCACCTCGCATCACGAGGAGGCACTATTGACCGGGCACGAGGGAGTGACCAATGACCGAGCCCGGGGTCAAATTCGGTGCGCATTCTCGCCAGATGGCTGGTCTGCTCGCGAAACTGACGACGTGTAGGCGTACGTAATGAGAAGAACGTCCTGCAATTTTCGAGGTTGTTTGCGTTCATCGGTTGACAGAAAGGGTTGCGGAGAGTGACACGATCGCGCTGGTCGTTTCGTAGGCCCGTTCATGAGTATTGGAATTCGCAGGAGAAGCTGCGGTGGATAAAGCTGCCAATGAATAAGGTGCTCTTTGATCTAGACCTGCCGTCGGTGGTGACACGGTCATCGGCGCATGCAAGTCGTTCCAATGCTTGCACCTTCACGTCTTGCAAAAGGAGCAGGACGACGACGAAAGCGATCACTACGTATGGTCAGTGCTAATGCAGCTTGTCGCGGGCCAAGCCCGCAAAGAAGTGGCGCAGATCAACAAGTTTGCGCAGTTACGCGAATGGCGTTACCGGCTCTGATAACGCAGGTGCAGGATGGCAAGATAAGGGCACTACACGCCAGAGACGTGTGGCTCCGCACCGGATAGAGTGGGGGCAGACTGCTGTTGAGACCAACGAGCACGAGTCGTGCCGAATCCCGGTCCGAGCTACGCTTTGAAGTTGCATGATGCGGCGGCGCGTAGGACTGTGGCTTGGCGACGATGGTGCACTGAATGTAGACCTGCTCGGCTGTTGAATGCAGCGATCGAAAGTATCGATGAGACCGTCGAATTTGATCTGGTCGGACTGTTGAAAAAGACGTGAATAAACAGGCAGTACTGAGGGTACGACGTGCTTTGGAGAAACTGTCACCTCAATGTCCGACGCACCCGCATGACCGTCAGGTGGTGCTCAGCTTCGGCATGGACACAGACAGTACTAGCACACAAGAGCTGTCACCGGGCTATATCAGCGTGCCATACAATACTCGCGCACTTAAGGCTGCTGTGACGTCATCCAGCAAAACGAGCCACAGCGGAGTGTATGTCGGCTGCTTTGTCGGCACTGCACGGTGAGGAAACCCATGCTATGCTCAAGTTCACTTGCTTGAGATGCTCGACCCAAACTCTGACACGACGGCGGTCCAGGGAGATGAGTGGACACGGGAAGTATCATCGATGGAACAGTTGTCAAGGATTGTGGGAGGAAGGACCAGACTCAGACAAAACCCCCACTTCAAGCAGGTTAACCTGGTCGTCCTCTTCGATCGATATCGTCGTTGTCTCCCGACCACCGAGTACTTGACGCCAATCATTCGCTTCGGTAAACCTCAGCATCAGTCATTGCGCAACTTGCCGTCTCGAACCCACTATCTCCTGCCGATCCGAGTCGTCCAATGCGTCCAGCGATCTTCTTGTCCGCGGCACTGCTCTGCCTTGTGACATGTGGCAATGCCGTCAAAGCAGCGTCAGACTTGCAGAACCCCATCACGTCGGACGTCAACTCGCCTGTGGTGGCCAACGACAATTGGGTTCAATCTGATGCGAACACGAAGCAACGGCGCCTCTTTTCGACGTGGGGAAAGAAGCATTCGGAACCCGAAGCCGACCCGCAATCAGCTGCTAAGGACAGTACTGCCAAGGACGCGCAATTCGACAACATTACCGCACTAGCTCGTGAAAGCACCTACGCCCGAGACAGCGATGACAGCATCGATAGCTGGGACCTCCCTGATAGCTCGGACCTCCCCGACAACTCCGAGTCTCTCGACAGCTCGGATTTCCCGGACAGCTCCGAATATCCCGACAGCTCCGACATCGGCGGCCTAGCTGGCAAAAAGAGCGGTAAACCAAGATTTCGTAAGTTCTTCTTTCTAGACACGTATTGGAATTTATTCATCGTGCAACAGCGTACTCGTGCGAAAACGCTAGCAAAGATCGCTGCCAACGAGAAGGCTGGTTACCCAGCCTTTTCGTGGGCGGGAATTCGTACTCGATACAGTACGTTCATCAACAAAGGCTACATCGTGTTTCTCGACAGGCAGTGCGCTCGCCCCAGAAACTGGAACAAGCGAGCATGTGCATAGCTACACGTCTGGGTTCACTTCGATGGAAGCATCGCCAATTTATTCTGTTATCGCCCACTATTTTGGTATATTTCAAATACATTTGTTTGGTCAAAGTTCGCTCACGATATCAGGCGAATATGAATTGTTGCCACTTTTTCCGCTGTCCTGTAGAAGATGTGTTGACAGCGTCCGTGTTCTATCCATTCGAGTAGTGCGAAATTTACTGTGCTTATCAGACGGCATGTATTTGTCCGAATGTGATACCGTCTTGTTATATTTACGTACAGCTTCGACGACATTGAACTTGACACGTGTGACAACATGATCAGTCTTTTAAATGGAGTATCATAGCGATTACCCCGTTCGTAACGGGGTTACGCGTCGACTGGTAGTCGACAATAGGTGTGGTGCACACGAGGGATGGGATCCCCTTTAACGTAATATTCGAACACAAGTATCAATTATTGAAGACTGATGTCTGTTAACAATTGATTACGAGATCTTTTAATAGGTTTATTTAGGACATAAGTGAGTAGGTTATTTACTTTGTTCTACGGTGTTCTTTCAGGTTAAAAGAAGAAATAAAATTCAGTTCCCATTTTGATCAACAAAAGACACGTGCCTCTCTGAAGCGTCTTGTGATCGTAAGGAAGTAGCAACGCCTTGCTAAGGCAGCTACTCCTTGTGCACTTAGTGCGATCGATTCTTTGAATCGTTTGGTCCTCCTGGAACAGGGACCGTAAGTTCTTTGAGCTTGTTGACTCTTTGAGTCGGGTTCTTTGAACCACCTTTTAGCTCTCGGAGCTGTTGACTCTTTGAGTCGGGTTCGTAGAACCAAAGTTGCTCGTAAGAGCGTTAAGTCTTCCTCTGACTAAAGGAGCTGTGTAGCTCCGCTACACTTGGTAGCATTAGTAGTCAATCTACGCCTGAGTCGGCAACGACTGATCCTTTGTGAGGATGGAGCAATCCACACCCTCTCTAAGACCCAAAAGATCGCGCTTGATAAGCTGAACGCGGCCGTAGGCCCTAAATTTGTGGAGTTTCTAGCTGCACAAGGCGCCGATGTGCTAAATGTACGAGTCAAGACTTTCATGCAGTATGAAACAGTCCTTTTAGGGCAGATTAAAACCAGGTAGCGTCGGCTATGCCAACACGCTACGTGGCGATGCCAACTGAAGAGGCTAAGCCTCGTCTCCTAAGGTGGACGTATAATATTTCTCCGGAAAGGAGGGGGAAAACCTTACCCTCTGGATCCGTGAGATTGAGATGGCCATGAGCTATGGCATTATCTAACTGGAGTATCAGCGGGTCTCGCTGGCCATCTCCAAGCTCGATGGTAGAGCTAGAGAGTAGGCTCTGACGTGTAGCACGTCGGTCGACTTGGCGTTTCCCACATGGGATTTGATCAAGTTAGACCTATTGCGAGTTTTCTCGCCGTCTAACCAGGCCTATCGCGTGCGCTCACGCTTCTTGTCTACCCGTCAGGTTAAAAATGAGTTAACGGACTATGTCCAAGAGTTAAGAGCTCAGATGGCTGCTTTGAAGTCTGACCCTCTCCCTGAGACAGTCTGTGTGACTGCTTCATGGAAGGTCTTCGCAATGGCGCTGCCAGGGCCGAGGTGTTTCGGGTCCATCCCTCTACTTTTGAGGAGGCTGTTAGCATCGCTCAAAATGATGAGCACAACTTCAAGTCGGCCAGACTTGGTTGGAATGGGTACAACCCAAGCTTTGCGAGGGTGACGTCTGTGAGCACCTCGGCTTACTGTAATCCAGAACCGATGGATCTCAGCCATGCTGAAGATGAAGGTGGAGCGGAGCTTGATGAATGTTGCAGAGCAACGACAAGAAGTGAGACGCTTTATATGTGCGGAAGCACTAAACACTTGCGTCCCACTTGTTCTTTGCGTAAGCAACAACCGACTTTATGGGTAAAAACCCCAGCCACAACCAGACCTGGTATGGCACGGGGAAACGTCTACACCCAGTAGGTGCGGGGCGCCCTACTGGGGTAGAACTGAGTTCTGTCACTTCTCTTCGAGGTAGAGTGAAATAGGGCTTAGCCCCACCGAGCTGTGTGCCCACCAGCACAGAGCGTGGATACAAGCCTGGCTTGTTAGTCGCCGAGGCGAAAGTTAAAGGCTTTGAGAAGCATTGGTCGATCCTAATCGACTCCGGAGCATCATGCAATTATGCTCGACGTCGTTCCCTTGAGGAAAGTCAGCAATATGCTGAAGCGCTCAAAGCGCATGAGGGTGATTCAATCACCGTTCGTTTAGCGACTGGTAGTCGCGTCACTGTGCCTAAAGTTCCGTTGAGCTTAGGTGTGACATTTTTGGATTTTGACAGCATTGAACGCTGTCTTGTCCTCGATTTGGATTCGAGATACGATCTCATCCTGGGTATGGCTTGGCTTGAACGCCATGAGCCATGGTTTGATTAGATGTCAAAGATCTTAGGCGCCACGCGCAATGTTTCTAGCGAAGTTTTGGAGAGTCATGAACCCACCTTCGCTAGGCAACAAAAGCGCTATTGGCGCGAGCCATTGACGGAAAATGTCAATGTGCTGGACATTGGTATGTCAGAGTTGATTAAATACAATGTCAATGACATCCATATTGAGCGGAGATCTTTCACCGTATGTGAGGGGAGTTATACTCCGTTGAGTAATACTCGTTGTGATGCTGAGCCACTGCATGATTCAGTCATGGTTTGCTTAGGGCCGAGACATCCAGAATATAATTCCTCTGATGTACGTGAAGTGGCACGTGAAATCCCACTGAGTGAGGGCGGCCGAGATGGCACCTCACTGAATGTCGGTAATGACATTGTTAGTGAGAAGCCAGAGTATTCAGGGCTAGGCCCGGATGCTGCACGTGAAGTGGTACGTGTAAACCCACTGGGTGAAGAGTTCGAGTTCCGTAACACTTCACCAGATGTCGTTCAAGACATGATCTCTCGTATGGAGCGTGTCAAGATACTTAGCAACCACGAAGACCCTACTATTCAGGCCTCTAGGAGGCGTAAGGTTTCTTTGAGAAACAATCCTGGCGTCGGGTGCAAACCGAAAAGCGCCTAATTTTTAAGGAATCACAAAGTGATAATGGTGATAATACACCATATGCACTTATCAATGGGTTAACTGGCCTTGTTAATAACAACATTAGTCTTGAGACTCTTCCATCTTTGGATTATCTCTTTGAAATAGACAAAAAGTCTGACGGCGAATTTAGCCAAGCCTTACAGGCAGGAGAATTATCCGAGTTAGTGGTCATTCGACCAGATATTGAGTTGAACTCATCCTCGTTAAAGAATGAGTCTGTCCTTGAGTGCACGAAGGCGGCGTTGGATGCTCGTAGTGGATCGTCGACCCTTAAGGATCCTCTTGATCCTTTCAACCTTTGGTAAAGGAATTTCAGGACGTGATGTGTTACAACCCACCGTCCGTTTTGCCTCCCGAAAGAGGTGTACGTCATAAAATTGACTTGGTTAATGGAACTTAATACTGCGTAACACGGCAGTGGCCTTTACCGATGGAACAGTGTGACGTCATTGACGACTTCTTTCGTGCAAAGTACGCGGCAGGAATGGTACGTGAAAGCAAATCTGCCCATTCCAAACCGATCTTCTTTGTCAAAAAGCCCAATGGGAAGTGGCGCATTGTTCATGCTTACACTAAGCTTAATGCGGTCGCCATTCCGGCTCAGGCACCAATACCGAGGAAGGATGATCTTCAGAACAATATGGTGGGATGTACATTGTACAGTGCGCTCTACTTAGTCGATGGTTATTACCAACTTTTCGCGCGGGCAAGCGATATTCCGCTGACTGCGGTCAGCATCCGAGCGGTATGCTCTAAGAGTGGCTTGATATGCCGCAAGGGTTATCAAATACCCCGGCTACATTCAACTGTCTTGTGACACAATTGTTCAGACCTCACAGAGGTTATGCACAGACATACTTTGATGACATCTTTGTCCATAGTCGTGCTATGAACGGTCGGTCAGATGTGAACAATCACATTGACCATTTACGAGCGGTACTCGAGTGCATGAGCACGAATAAGCTGTACGCCAACGCGTCTAAGTGCATCTTTGGTGCATAGGAGGTTCCCGTTTTAGGGTGCTTTATTGGTAAGCGAGGCCTTAGAGCGGATCCTGCTAAGGTAAAAGCCATAGTTGATTGGCCGGTTACAAAGAACCAAAAGGACTTACGTAAGTGGCTTGGCCTTGCCAATTGCTTGCACAAGTACAATGCGAATTAAGCAGATATGGCCAGGCCATTGACCAATCTCCTTAAAAAGGATGTAGAATGGTGCTGGACTAGCACCGAGCATGTGCTTTTCAAGCATTAAAGAGAGTCTTCTTCATGCGCCAATCTTGGCTTTGCCCGATCCTGATCGATCTTTCAGTGTCGTCTGTGACGCATCTGACTTTGCCATAGGCAGCGCTCTGTTACAGACAGATTCTGATGGACGGGAACGCGTAATTGTGTTTGAGTCTCGGCAGCTGAAGGCTTCAGAAAAAAACTATCCTGTTCATGACAAAGAGTTACTTGCAATGAAGTATGCTCTCGTCAAATTCAGAGTTCATCTGCTTCGCTCTAAGACGTTTGTGATCTATACAGATCATGCGTCACCACGCACTGTGACCCGGACGCCTCACCTCTCTCAGAGAATGGCTCGTTGGCTTTTCTTCTTTGACGAATACAACTTCGAGGTGAAGTATAAGCCGGGCAAGCAGAATGATTTGGCTGATGCGTTGTCACGCAGGCCTGACTTTGAGCTTGCTCATGTTACGACTCTGTCGTCGTCGGTCACTGACTTAATCCGTACGGCATATGCCAAGGATGAACACTGTGTAGCTCTGCTACGTGCTCTAGGAAGGCAAAGAGTTTAAGGACTCGGACATACAATTGTCGGCACGAATAAGTGCAAGGCTGCATCGATATTCGATCGATAAAGTCCTGTTGTGCAATAGCACGGATGTGGAGGATACCCCTCGCATCGTTGTCCCTCATGA